CAAACTAGTATCGACGGAAACATAAATCACACTCCAAAATTGACAATTTTTTCATTAACGCTCCTTACAAATTTTCTAGTTAATTACTTGCTGTACATTATATTAGATTAAGTTAAAAGTGGTATTTGTCGATTAATAATTAAGGGTACATGCCACTTTGCATTTAAAATTTAATCTACAGAAATTCTAAATCATAATTACATCAGGCGTACTTCCATTGTACTCAGCATTATTTAATTGAAATGTACGGATTGAAACTCATTAAAAATTAATGCAATTTCAAAGTGGAATTTAATTACTTTATTTCTAATAATTATAACAAAAAAAAATATGTTTCAATTCAAAACTCATTATTTAATTATCCTAAACTTCATTGAAAACTGCGCATTGCCAGTAATGAACAAAGCTTTTGAAGTATGTTCAAGCAGTCACGTAAATTCAATATTTTTGCAAAATGATGATACACTTGATGAGTTGTGAATCATAGCTTTATATTGGATCCTGAAAATTCCGATGATTCTCAATGATTCCTAAAAACCACTTCATTTGAAACTTTTCGATATTTTTTATTGAAAAGGATCTAAAAGCATTTGATCAAATTATGACTTGTGAATAATCCTTAATACTTCATTAATTCAAATTTTCATCCATTTAATATTCTTCTACGCTCAAACAATTTGTCAGAAAAACTAATCAACGCTGATTCGTACTGAAAAGTTTGAATTTTGAAATCGATATCTCTCTGATGCATGACTAAGCGTGAGATTTTTTCTAAATTGAAATAAAGTTGAGGCTTTTCACAATTTTATTGGAATATTTAAGCTTATATTTCAATATTCTGACGCTAATGATATCGCATTACAAAGCAGCTAATTCAAAAGCCTGTAATTAAATGATCTAGTTTAAACACTTAGCAATCAACGTTCTAAAAGCTTTAGCTAGTTTCAAATTTTTCAAATCTTTAAAATCGAATTGATGATGCTAAATAGTATGTACACTAGACTATATTAATTGCTATTCAAAATATTCAATTGATTTATGAGAATCTTTGTATGATTTTAATCTATAATTAACATTTACACTCAGTCATTATTTTAACACAGTTAAGGATTATGCAATTCTATAGAATTACATAATAAAAATTATATTTATGACAGCTATAAACTTCAATGCAATGCGATAATATTTATGGTCATTTGTCATTTAGATCCATAAATTTTTAGAATCGTAATTTTTCGTTAGGTAAACTATGCAAATGACTGCAGTAGCATATTTAATAATCAAAATGTCAGTGAGTGCAGCCTACTTATTAATATGCGGGAGGTTTCGTTAAACTTGAGTGGGAGATAATAAATATATAATAAAATTGAGAAGTTTTAAGAATGATAAAATGTAGGAAATCAAAGAAATGTAAATTTGTGTCAATTCTTGTCTAGTAAAGTTAAGTTATGTACATAATATGAGACTAAGCTTTAAATGATTAATATAAAAGTATTCATTACATTGTATAGACTCGTTCTTATGATCATTTAGATAAATTATTGAATAATAATAAAACTTTTGTTGAATTGCTCAAAACAAAAATTAATAGCAGATCCTCATGCAAAAGCAACTTAATTAAATACGTTAATAAATTTATATTTCAATGATTTTTAAAAAAACAATAGCTACAGTCATGAAGTACCCACATTTAGTATTAAATATAAAGTGGAATAGGAAAAACATAATAAAAACATTAAAAAATTATGATCGAAATGTGGTTCATGCTGTGAGAGTAGCATGTCCAATTTTCCAATTGACTAAAAGTTATGAATCAAAAATGTACATCCACTTTACATTCATTTAGATTGCTATTTTTGACAAATGTAATTGAATTATTAGCAGAATGGGACAAATTAAATTATAATATTCTGGTCGGGAGTTAACCATTATGATCATTATTGCATTTACAGCATTAATAGATGATTGTTCAGCCCTTCCATTGTTTTGATTTTTTACAATAGAACCAATAAATTGAATTGAATATGGCATTCGATGCCTTTATTTGCGGTAAATTAGCACAAATAAAAATAATAAAGCTTAAGATTTTTATTATTATTATTATTTTAATTATACTTAAAAAATAAGTGTGTCTATGGACAGCCTTGTATCTCTATTTTTCATGCTTTTTATTCTTTGCTTCTTTGGCGGTCGAATGATTTTATTTTTTTATCATATTTTCACATTCTTGAGTCAGAATAAGTGCCTTGGAATGATTGGTATTTTGTGTGTTTTTTTTTTGCAGAGTTATTGACTGAATTGTCGATATTAAGGCAATTGAATTGATGAATTTTAATTTTTGTTTTTTTCTGAAGAAGAGTTAATTTCAAGCAAAATATTTCAACAATGGATCAATGAAAATAATTACCTGGTTTTATATTTAACTCAAAATTAATTTACCAAACTGTTATAATATGATGAAGAAGAAGATCATTAAGTTCGAAAAGAATCGATTTTAAGAATTCATTCTTCTTATTATTTTATAAACAAAAAGTTTCAGGAAAAGGATTACCAGCAATTTTACAGAGCTAAGAATACAATGTTTTAGACTTGAACAATTAAGAAAGAAATCGGATATTAATATTTGATTCAAATTTTGTCTCTGAGAACCAGAAAAATTTCTTCAACCTATAAAATGATTTAATATCAAATTAATCAATTCTATTCACACTTCTAATTAAGCATTTCAAAATAAATTAACATAAAATTGAGCAATAATTAAACTCCCATTTCAATACAATTTCACGATAAAATTAAATAGCAGATTGTGATTTGCAATGTTTAACAAATTAAGTAAGATCAGATAATTGTTATGCAATAGATTTTTCCAGATGTTTTGGAGTTCTTGATCAAATTAATGTATATGCTAATTTCTTGCCGTGAAAGTCAAGATTATCTCTAACGAGTCGTTTTGATATCAAATTCATTTTGTTCATTTGAATCTAAAATCTTTAATAATTTTTACAATCATCCTGAAAAGTAAACAATAATTAACATAATCCATTAACGACTAGTCACTTGTCCATGATATTGATATTTACATCTCAAGTTCAAACTTTAAAAGATGATTCATGAATTGTAAAAATTTCCAAACACCAATATCCTGACCATTCAATTCTATATTTAGATTTATTACCATTCTGTTCTTGATATTAAATTCGAAATCAATAGAAAAGAGAGATCTATATCATTCACAGAAATACAAGCCTTCGATTAAATATTGGCCTACATATAAATATTGAAAAAATAAAACTTAGCAAAGGTCAGTTACTTTTTTTCATTAATAGCTGGCGGGACTTTTCGTCATGAATCATACACAATGATAGATTAAATTTAAACTGGCGTTAAGTTGAAAGCATGCTGGTTTGTTATACTTCCGATACATTGAATAAGTAATAAAGAGATATTTATCAGGTGTAAACAAAATTCAGGTAGTGACTTAATATTTGGAATTGATTGATGGTTGATCATGACAAGGAGCTTTGAATTTTTTTAAAAGAGTTTACGGAATGATGACTTGTGGAATTTTTAGGAATAATGCATGATCAGGTTTGATTCTTCTGAAATTTGAACTATTGAATATCCAACCCTAGTAACCAAAATGTTCCATATAATCTTCCTTCGACGTCGATGGAAGATCAAATGTATCATTATTTATTATATGGAAAATATTTGCTTTACAAATATGTAACAGAAGTGTTCCATCGAAGTATTACCCGAGCCTGCTTAGGATCAAATCCTATGAAATATCATCAAAAAAATATTTTTTTGCAGGAAAATAATATTTGTTCTAAATTTGGCATTTGCCATATACTTCACAATTGCTCGAAGAAATCACTATTATAAGTTTTCTCAAAATTTGTATGGGGCTTCCAATTAATTATTTATCTTCCTCATGTTTATGTGCGAGTCTTGGTCGTTCATCAGTATGCGACTTAATTAAATTAAGTCCTTTTGTTCTTTTTCGTAGTGTTAGTGTACTTTAATTAAGTATAGACTAATACTTTTACAAAAATTTACACAAATTAATGAAAAATACAAAAGAACACGTGGAATTTAACACGTGTTTTTATGCAAAAAAAGTAATCCATTTGTTTTCCATTTGTATTCCTTTGATGTATTACATTGATGTCTTATTGCATTGTCCATTTATCTTCCATTTTCATAGGACATCAGCTTCCGATGGATAATACATGGATAATACATATGTATCATCCATGGAAGATTCTCATGGAATACATTGATCTACCTTTTGGTTACTAGGGAAGTGGAACCTACAATTTCAGGAACTGTGTTTCTTAAGATGGGAATCGACTTATCTTACTTAAGCTATCTGTCATACACGTACAACCAGTATCAACGCAAGCCCTATGCTCAGGCCTATCCACTACAGATATGCTCTTCGAGCCATAAGTACATGTTCATTCGATGAAAGTGCTCTATTTATATTTTAATATTCAGGAACAATAACAAGAGACTTTCCGAAACACAAAATTCTTTAAATAAATTTTTTTTAAGTCATTAGATGCTTGACATCGCAAGATAAATAAAGTCATTTCAATAATAAATATCTCGATTTCAAGCTTGGACTCACGTCAGTCGTCAATCTTTATTTACAGTTTATTGAATTTCATTACAGCGATACCCAGCACACGATGTGATGCAACAATTGCAAATTCTATCAATTATTGTTTTGTTATTCAAGTCGGGAAAACTTTTTGTGGTGCAGTTTGGGAAAAACGTAACTGAATCATTCTCACATGCTTATTATGACGCAATGGGAGATGATTTAGCATATTTGTAGACAGTACAAAACCTTAATATTATTCAAAAATTACTCTCAACAGTTCTATTCAAAAATGCACTTTAAAAAGCAACAAGGCTCGTACATACTTTATGATTATTTAAATTATACACAAAACAAAAATAAATTAATTTAAATATCGTATATTTGCTCGTAGCTGCCACACAATTGATTCGTCATGGGATCACTTCCACAATTTTCAATAATAAAGGGGCAACAGGTGCCTCTTTATCCAAAATTGCTTCATAAAGCATTCGAGGAGCTTGTCGATAAAAAGTATGGTGAAAAAACCGCCCTCATTTTCACAGACGAGAATGGAGAAAAGAGATTGACAAACTACAATACCTTAAATTCCATGTCAAATCGAATTGCGTTAGCATTATTGGAAAAAATCCAATCAAACAATTTGAAGGCAAATAATGATGGGGACTGGATAATTTGTGTTTGCATGAAGCCGTCAGACAACTTAATAACAACATTATTGAGCATTTGGAAGTGCGGAGGTAAACAATAATGAGCTAACTCATGTTTTCATTTAATTAAATCATAATTATTGAGATTTATTCTCTATGAAAAATTTACTTGCTGAGTAATTTTATTGCAATGTAGAACATAGAATTTAACATGCAACAGCATATGTCATAATCATTAATAAGCTATTTGCTGATATTTATATCGTGCATTCTTTTTATTCGCTATTAGCTGCATATTTACCACTTGATGTTACGTTCCCTGACAACAGAATCAACCATATACTGAATGAAGCACAACCAGTTATTGTAAGTCAATTATCTCTATGAGCGTGCAACGATTAGTACTAATGCTTGTCATCTCCTATTAGGTTATTTATGACGACGATTTTAACAGACCAGAAGTGTTTGGTTCTATCGCATCAATTAAATTCAATGAGCTCAAAGAGCATTCAAAGCTTTACAGTAATGCAAATATTGACGAATGTAACACATTGACAAAGGGAATTTCCGATCTCGGTCTCGTGCTTTACACATCTGGCTCGACTGGCATTCCAAAAGGTGTCCGATTGCGTCACTGCATTGTTCAGAATCGTTTAGAATGGCAATGGAAACGATTCCCATATTCAGCAACAGAAATTTATGGCATTTTTAAGACAGCATTAACATTTGTTGATTCTGTAACAGAAATTTGGGGACCATTGCTTAATGGAATGACTTTAGTCGTTGTCCCCAAAGAAGTAACAAAGAATCCAAACAGTCTTGTTGATATTCTTGAAGAATACAAGATTGAAAGACTTGTTCTTGTTCCAACATTACTTCGTTCCTTATTAATGTATCTTCCATTACAAGAAAATAATGAACGATTGCTCTACAATCTCAAAATATGGGTATGTTCTGGAGAACCACTCTCATTACAGCTATCTAAGGAATTTTTCGATTACTTCGAGGAAGGAACACACATTCTCTGTAATTTTTATGGGTCAACTGAGGTAAATTAAGCAATAAAAATTTTTATTCATATTTCTTATTTCCATATATGCACTCGCAGGTAATGGGAGACGTCACATATTTCGTATGTGAATCGAAAAAGCAGCTTGACTCAATCGAACGTGTACCAATTGGACAGGTGTTGGACAATACTGTAATTTACTTGTTAGATTCAAATTTCCGACCTGTCAACATTGGCGAGATCGGTGAGCTCTTTGTGTCAGGTGCTAATTTAGCCTCAGGCTATTGTAATGGACGTGATGCAAATCGTTTCATTGACAATCCACTCGCAATTGATCTAATGCACTCAAAAGTATACAGAACTGGCGACTATGCTTCATTGCACAAAGGAATGATCTACTATGAAGGCAGAACTGACAGTCAAATTAAAATTCGAGGACATCGCGTTGATTTGTCAGAAGTTGAGAAGCACTTGGCATCACTCGAATATGTTGAGAAAGGAGTCGTTTTATGCTACCATGCTGGGGAGATTGATCAGGCACTCGTTGCATTTTGTGTTGCTAAATCCAATAATCTTAATAGATACATTGCAAAAACAGGAATTCAAATTGAAAATGACCTCAAATTAAAATTGGCTAACTATATGGTGCCTCAAGTAATTGTCTTGGACAGTATCCCACTTCTTGTTAATGGCAAAGTTGATCGCCAGTCACTGCTCAAAATGTACGAAAATACAAATAACAATGAAGATACGGAAATTGAATTTGAAATGGACTTTTGCGGAATTAACGATGAAAACAGAATGTTGAAGGCAAAAATACTTTTTGAAACTGTCGCAAATGCAATTGGACGTTCAATCAGGTCAAAGCTTTCAAGTACGTAGAGCATTAATAATTGCATTAAAAAGCTATAAATTTAAATTGATTTTTTTTATTATTATTCGTGGTAATTTACAGTCGGAGCTAATTTCTATGAACTTGGTGGCAATTCGTTGAACTCAATATTTACAGTCACACAGCTCAGAAATAAGGGTTATTTCATATCAATCACAGACTTTATTACCGCACCAACATTAGGCAATATCATTGACAAATTGAGAACACAAAACTCGACCGATGATGATGAAGAATCTAATACATGCTGCGCAAATTATTCCAAATCAGATCTCCACATTGAATGCGATATGGAACTAAGTTGTCTTCCATTGGCCTTAGAGCACAAAGATGATACAATTGAAATAATTACGACGAGTTTCTATGAAAAAGCTGACATTGAACAGTACATTAAAGATGATATATTAAGAACCGACTATGCTGATATTTTGGAGATGATTTGGGAAGTTCTTGTAACCAAAGATTTAAGTTTTATTATTAAAGATTCTAGTGGACGTAGTGTTGGTGTTGCTCTAAACTTTGATGCTCGTGATGAACCGGAAGTTCAAGTTAATTCGAAGCTTATTGTTATTTTTGAGTTTCTTGAATATTTGGAAGGTCCAATTAGGTAAATTATAAAACTATTATAACAGGCATGACTAATTATGATAATTTAATTCAATTAATTTTTTCATTAAAATAATTCAGAGATAATCAGTTGCCAAAAGGAATCAATCAAATACTCCATAGTTTTATGATGGCAACAAGTGCTGATTTAGATGCACGAGAAAATATTGCCGTAATGCATTTCATGGAGAATGAAGTTTTGAAATTGGCAATTCGCAAGCAATTTGCTGGCATTTTGACAACAAATACATCACCCCTGACACAACAGCTTGGATCAAATGTTTATGGATATAAAACTATGCTCGAGTACCCCATCAATCAATATGTTTATCATGACAATACCCGACCATTTGGAAAAGCTCCCGACACAAAGACAGTTGTTGTTCATTGGAAGGATATACGCAACTAGATATAAGCTATATATATACACAAATCAGTTAATTTATAAACATATTTATGATATTATTTAGCTAAGTGATGTAAACACGAATTTATGACCAATTATTGTCTGTAGAGATTCCAATTGAGATTAATACTAACCATATTGAGTAATTCAAGCTTATTTCTGCTGTACATTTTACAAATCAGTGTTGTTAACATAGGGGTATGGATGGATTTGATCAGAGTTTTGGGAAGGAAAGAGTTCATTCTAGGTCTTTAGTGGCACATCTTGAATTTTTCCTTAAAAGCAGGGTTGCGATACAGGCACTTGTGCACAAGTCAGAACCGTAGAACCTTACCTGTGTACAAGTTCTTGTATCGCAACTGTACTTAAAAGGATCAACTAAAGCTCAAAGTCGATGAAATTTTTTATGGAGTCGAGTCGACTCGGAGTCGATAAAAAACTTGAGTCGACTTCGAGCTCTAAGATCAACTCAAGTTTTAAGCATCAATTAAAGAACCACTATCTTCTTAGTTGTGCCCAGAGTACGTATAAGAAACTCAGTTCTGTTATATAGTCCCATACCCAAAAGAAAACCTCAGATCAGCAACACTGTCCACAACTCTTGTATTTCAAAGAAATAGTCATTAAAAGTCGCCGTGCGACTGATCACAAAAATAAAGCGCAAATTTTTCGCAACACATTTTTTTCAAGCTTAAATGAACTGGATGTTTATTAAAAATTGCAAAATGCATTAAGCACAACACAAAAGAATATTAACAAGCAATTGGAAACTCTTGAGGACATACAAAAAATAAAGTTATTTGTTAATTATTTTTCCTCCCCACATACACTACCAATTATATGCTCTCAAAGTTCACTTATTGATGTATTCATATTGTATTACTGAAAGAAGTATTTTTAATGGATATCACTCAAATTGTTCATTGATAATGAATAAAATATATTTTATTAAATTCTATGATGCACTTTTTATTGATTTTTCATCTCATTTGATTTTCTTTTATTTTCAGGAAAACTTTGTTCCTTTAAACTCCATTCAAAATGTGAAAGTAACTGAAATGTTCTGGTCTACTTTTTTTGTACTCAAGATCGAGAGTCGTCTATAGTACTAACATGAATGTTATTTTTCTTTTGCAAGTATAAGCAAAAATGACATAAATCCTCTACATGCTTAAAAAGTTACAATTTCTATGCTCATTTTAAAGCGTTCAACGTGTTGTGGGTTCCTTGTGTGTATATATATATAAATGTTATGTGAAATTCAAGCTATATATTTATTTTTTTTCATCATCATTCATTCACTCACTAATCCATCATTGTTATCAAGCTATTTACAATAATTCTATATCCTCATTCATCCTTTTAATTAACATTAATATTATTAGTTTTAGTTCCGAATGAAAAGCGTACATTTCCTTCATTCTTTCATGTTTTTTTAATGTCATATCACACAATTTTCATTCATTCATTCAGCTCTTAATGTTCCTTTATATGTTATCATTCATGATCATTTTTTTTTATCAACTTTTTAGATTATTTTTCATTATTTAAAGAAACTAAATTTACAAGAAAAGGAATTGGTATCGAGATGCTTTTAAGAACGTTGAGTTGAGCATTAATGCTGAATATTTCTTCATGAATCCTTTATTAGAGGACCTTAAATCATAATCTTGACATACCCAACATTTTTATAAATTTTCGGTGGCATATCTTACAACCCGGATTAAGTCTCCTTTTAAACAGACTCACTTGCTTTATGTCATTTTTTTAAGGATGTCATCAACAAAAAGCCTGTATCTCATATTCTTTAGCCTTTAGAGATTAATTTTGATTCTAGTAAGACACAAGTAAGTCATTTGATGTTTAATTGACAAATAGCTCATTTCTATCATAACAAAGACTAATAGTCATAATTATGAAAATATTACCAAAAGTTTAAATGACAAATCTCAAGGAAATAAGTCAAAATATTCAACATTAAAGGAACTTAAGTTTTTATGCAAGCTATTCTCAATACCCAGCTATTTTTTTTATGGGAGAAGAGAGAAGGAAAAAGAATCTATGCTTCATTACTTTTATTAACTATAAATGTATGGATTCAAGATTAGACATATTATAAGGATATAAATTGCACACAGAAAGAAAAGGTATTTTGTGTGCCTCATAAAACATACCGTGACATAATAATATTCTTTATTTTTCCTTACAATAAGTATGATTCTTAATAAAAAAGACGAAATGAAAGTCGATAATAAGGATTAAAGGTGTCTGATTGAAGAAGTAAATGTCAGAACCTATCCAAGAAAAATTAACATACTTATCAGATATTTTATGATCAACTTGTAAACGGAGAGATTATCATGGTTATGATTTTTTAACCATTTTTCATATAACTACGGAGCTTTGCGACTGCTGTTGTTGTGTTGCCGATGCTGCTTCTGCCTGTTGTTGGGTAATTTTTCGGAACGTACGGAACGTCTTCCAATCTCCACTATTATAATCCAATCGAATGAATGTATCGACTAGCATTGGAACGACTGTATTATCTGGCTGCTTGACTTGTTCCTATATTGCATTTATATAATAATAATAATTTAATTAATATGCAAATAATATTAATGAGACAAGAATGTTAAGGATGATTACCTTGCTTTCGTTCAGCTTAATCGTTATGACATTCTCTGCATTCGGTCGAGGATTATCTCGATAGCCAGCCATGAAACCAAGAATTAAAGCTTTATCTAACCTAGTGACACGATTTGCCTTCTTAAACATTTCACTAGCCACTGCGACATGTTTTGACTACAAAGTATATAATTATTAGCACTCGATTACTAGTTATTAAATGTTTAATAGACTTACAGAAAGCGAGAGACCTCTTCTTTGGCCAGTTGCGTTCGCACCAGCAGCACTGACTTTAATTGTCGTTCCTGTAGTTGCCTGTGAAGTCACTTGTTGAGTTTGTGTCGCGGTTTGCTGCTGTACTTGTACAACTTGAGGACGAGTTATTATAGTCTTCTGGATATTTTGTGGCTGAACGATTTGAGAAGCTTGAACTAACTGTGCTTGCTGTCCAGGACGCTGAATTAGAGTCAATTGTCCACCTTGTGGCATAGCCGTTAAAACTGGTCTAATTTGTACATGATTTGTCGTTTGTTGCTGAGGTTGCAACGTAGCGATATTCGTAATTAAGCGTGGCATTGTCTGTTGATGAGTTTGTTGATTCTGTTGAGCATTTGTCGAAAGCACCAATTGTGGAACATTTTGTTGCATATTGTTTTGTGGCACTAAAGCTAAAAGATAATATTTATTTTAATTAAATTGCCATATTTTTAAGTTTATGTATTGTTACCTGATGAAATAGGAATTTGCTGATAAATGGTCTGACCACCAGCTCCTCCGACATTCTGAAGAATGACATTTCTCGATCCTAGGTTCAAGTTTTGATTCTGATTTGATACAATAATTGTTTTGCCTTTAACAACACCGCCGGGCATTATAATTTGATTAAGTTTTTGTCCTTGTGTACCTTGCTGATTTTGTTGCGGTGCAGTCAATGTAACAGTTTTTCTAGCTGGATTTTGTATGTTTTGAATATTCAATAGTGTCGGCTGTTGAGTCGAAATAAGCGGTGGAATGTTTTGCACTGTTGAATTCTGATTCTGTGCCATACCCAAAATTGTTGGAGTCGTTTTAATTTGAACAATTTTCGTTGGCGTGCCTTGCTGCATTGGTTGAATGATTGTTGGCTGAGCAGTACGAGTCGTTAATGTTGGAATATTAAGATTTTGACCAGATGTAACCATGACACGTTGAACAATCTTATTATTTGGTGATATTACATATGTTCCAGTGCTCGATGTTGGCTGTTGCTGATTAGGAACGGCAGTTCGAATTGTATTTGGTGTTAAAACAATATTCGATAAAATAGTTGGCTTGCCAGAAGCATTCGTTTTTGCAATAAGCGTTGGCTTTTGTATAGTCATAGGCGATTTTGTTGTTATTGCATTATTATGTGCATTTTGTTGTGCCTGCGTTGTCACATATTGAACCGTCCGTACAATTGTATTACTTGGAATATTAAGATGTGATAAAGGTGATGGCTGACTATTTGGTGCAGAAACGGCTTTAATTGTCACATACGATGAATTAACTGAAGTCGTCGTCGGCGTTAAAACAATTGATTTCTGTTGATGCTGTTGTGGCTGAATATTTGTATTTGATATAAGCGTCGGTAGAGTTCGAGTAACTTTAACAATCTTCGTTTCTCCTTTAATTGTGCTGTCTTTTGTCGATGTCATAACGACTGATTTGACTGGAAGTTCTTGTTTAATTGGCGATATGGCTTTTACCTCTTCAATATCATCTTCGAATTTCATACGTTTTGGTGAGATCATTGAGTTCTCTTTCTTTAATTCTCTCGATGTTGTCACTAACGTTGGCGACGTATCAATTAATGTAGAAGACGTGCTAGTAATTGATTGTGTCGTATTCGTAAATAGTGGTGTACTGACCAGTGGAGAATCGGTCGATAAAGGCAATGGAGTTGCTGGTTGCGTATATGCCACAACGGGAGCCAATCCAGCAGCATAATCAGGCGTAGTTATAGGAGTTTGTACTGATACTTGATTTGTAATTCCTTCTCCAGTTTTTACAGTTTGCTCCGTCTCAGCTGCACGTTTTTGTTGCTCTTCTAATTCTTGTTGACGCTTACGTTTCTTTGCAGCTGCATAGCCTAAAGGTTGATCTTCAATTTCAAGGAATTTAACACCACCATCTTTTCGTCCGGCCGGTGTTGTTCTATTAATGCCAGTTGCATTTTTCGATTGAGCAGATATTGGTGTTTTAAATCCACCTGAAGGTACGCGTGAAGGAATTCCTTTAAGAGGAGTTGTATCGGTCATTTTTCTCGGCAATCCACGAGATCGTAAAGGCACAGTGGGTGCAGATGTCTTTTTAAGACTCGATTGAGCATCTGCTGATTTTTGCATCAATTCAGTCCTCAATATCGTACTTTTTGGTTTACGTTTAAGAACAAAATGACGCATCTGTGTCGGCTGATTACCAACTAATGCCGTTAATGCAGGCTTATTTAAATATTGACACTCTAAAGGAAGCATTCGAAGATCATTTGTTTTATTCACTAAACGTTTCAATTCCGAAACCATATCAGTAAAAATTTCTAAAAAAAGAAGTATAACAAATATTTGTTAATGCTGGTCGTTATTACTTATTGCGAAACTGTGTTTTTTTTCTACGTACTCTCATAGTCACTTATTTCTGTATTTAAAGATCCAGTCGCGGGATAAGTTTTCATTGATTCTGAAAGCATTGACACCCATAATTCTTGATCTTGTGCTGCTACCTCAAGAATCTCATCCAATTCAGCCTTCCACTAAAATTAAGCATAATAAAAATCTTCTTATAAGAAAATAATAATACAACAAAAATTGATTATTTTTTATGTATGCAGCACATATAACATAACATACATGAGCGATACGCGTATAGTTTTTCCACGGATGTGGCTATAGATAATATATAGCACTTCCAAAAAAATGCAAGCCACAAATTAAAAATTACAAACCTCATCAATAAATCTTCTTGGAATATGAAAAAAGCTTAATAGTAGCTTAAGTTTCACTTGTGTCTGAAGATCAGTAAATATTTCCTTGATATTCCTTAAAGCTTCCTTATTTAATTGTGAACAAATTGATCCACCATTTATCCATAAATCTACAAAAAAAACATATTTTTTCACATCAGAACTTTGTTATTTTCCATTTAATCTTGTTAATTTTGTACAATTCACTTGATTATTGACTTTATTAAGTACATACCATTTCCTGAAAGTTTATTTGAAAGCCAAACGCTTATGTTTGAAGACATAGAATTTTTTAGTGCTTTATCTTGCATCTTGATTTGCTTTTAAACCTTCTAATTTCAATTGTTCTCCACTTTTCCCCGATATTTTGACTGTTCCTTAACAAGATGGAACAGCTTTAATTAAGAAATATCGACGAGAATCCACTTAATTTTTATGTTTTTAATTAGTAAAATTTTACAGAATGTCACTTTTATTCCAAACCAATAATTTCAAATTTCAAAAAACCGTTACACTTTTTTTCTACGAATTTTCAAAATATTAATTAAACTAGCTTCTTGAATAGCTGAACAATCCTTAGATTAATTTTATTTCATCAAAAATAATTTGCATCGCTGACGCAAAAATAATATAAGATATAATAACATTCAAGTGTACAATCGAATAGTATAGTCTGAGCCTGAAGAAAGCAGCCAAGGCTGTGTTGAGTGGAACAAGACTTCAAAAATTCCGTAATCGCTGACTTTTTCGTGAAATTCTAAGCGTTTCAAAGGTACAATCAATGCATTCTGAAGCAAGTCACTAAAAGTATAATAAATTAAAATTACAATAAAATGCGCTTTATACATAAAAAGTAAAAATCATACTTGTAGACCATTCCATGACACACAATGACACCTCGATCGTCACTTCCACTAGCAAACATTGGATATCTTGAATGGTATGCAACACCACGAACAGCAGATTGATGTAACTTTAATGTCTGATAAGGTTTTGTTGACAAATCCAAGTCAAACCACATAACTTTCTTGTCATAAGTTGATACCAGCAAATTGTCACCTTTTGGATGGATTGCAATTTTAGCTATCCACTTACATGATGGTAATAATTTCTTAATCATTTCTTGCTTGACTAAATCATAAATTCTAATGTGCTGTTGTGATGCAACAAAAAGACATGGCTTGATTGGATGAAACAGAACACACTGAACCATTCCATGAGACTTTGAAAATGATGTTTGTGAGCGACGCTTAGACAATTGATGAACAAGAACTGCACGACTTAAACCATTTGGCATAACTGTAGCGAAATAATCGCCTTTTCCATGCCATGTTACTTGTGAAACTTCTTGGAAATGATTAATTATAATTCTCACACCATCTTTATAGTCATTAGCATCAATTTCTGAGCTCCATTGAACGGCTGTTTTGATTCTTTCATTCTCAATTTCCTCAATAACTGGTGCGTCACTTAAAATATCATCAGTTTTCTTTGCAATCAATTTAATGTCACCAACATGAGGATTAATAAGTAAGCATCGTTTGTCAGATGCAACAGCAATAAGAGAAATCTTTGGATTTGGACACCAAGCAACCGAACGAACAACTCCTTTTGTATTAATTGTTTTAATGCAACGTCCAGTTGCAACTTCCCAAATCTTAATTGTATGATCGTCTGATCCAGAGACAAAATATTGTCCCATTGGTTCCATACTCATTGTTCTTACTATATCTGTATGTCCAGTGTAAACCATACTTTGAGTCGTTGGGAATGGCTGAAGATCTTTTGATGAGGGCAATTTTGGGATCAAATCTTCAGGTTGGACTGTAGCCTTCATACGTTTAGCTCTTGGACACAAGTAAAGATCTAAGCAACGAATAAATCTTTCACGAATATAATTTTGATAATATGGAACATGACGCAAACTCTTGTATTTTTGTGGGACATAATGAAGCTTTCGTTTATATGGTTCATCCTTTAAATCTTCCCATTCTTGCTTTTCTTTGTCATTAAAGAGATATTCCGGTGGTGGATTATAAGATTCAGCATGTCCAGGCAAAGCTCTTTTTGGTGCTGTAACATGATCATGAATACGACGCATTTTATCACGTCCTGTATCTGAATCCCAAAGCATAAAGAATTTTGGTATCTTTTTCTCAGCTTCTATTTTATCCTGTTCGGCTTTTGTCTTTTTCCAGCCCATTTTTAATGAATGAACAATTCGTCCAACTTGCTTACGTTCAGTTTTTGATGGTAAAAACGATTGTTTGCTGTCTGGGATGCTTCTAATTGGCATTTTCTCAACTTCTGAAGTAAACCATTCAATCCAAGGCTCATAAGAATCAAAATTCACATTTGGATTCTTTTGATTCTTAATTTGTTTAATAATTTGAATATCTTCATCTGTTAAAACAACATCCTGTCCAGTTTGTGGATCTTTTACAGTTCTCCAAAAGTCTGGATCTTCCATTTTCTTCAAGAATGTATCAAGTTGATCTTGAACTGGAGGTTTAATAATTTTTTTGCCTTCCCAATCATATCCAATATGCTTATAATCGTCATACCAATGTAATGGGATGTTGCCAACTGTATTTCTTATGTCTTCTTCGTCAGAAGTATCTCCATCGTCTTCATATTCTATGAATTTCTTGCCATTTTCATCAGTATCATTGGATGTTGTTGGACGATCAGTTTTTGCACTTATTAAGGTCTCATCGTTTGGTTGTCTTAATTGTTCCTTAATTAATTCACTAGCTTTTTTCTGTTCGACTCTTTCCTTTTTACGAAATGCCTTTAATTCAGTTAATCGCTTTTGTTCTTCCAATTTTGCCTTTTCTTTGTCAATAAATTCCTCTTGCTCTTCATACTCATCTGATGATGTCTGTTCCGCATCGATTTCTGAACTTACTTCCTGTAAATTCTCACTTCCTTCTTGTTCGCTATCGAAACTTTCAAAACTTAAAATATCATCAGAATTGTCACTTTCTGCGTCGCTATTATCATCACTTCCATCCTGTTCTTGTTCCTCATTATTAATTTCGACTAAAAGATCCTATTGGGACATAAACAAAAGTTGTGCCGATGAAGTAGAAAAATGTAAATAAAAGCACATGGTATATAAATAAGTTAATTTTTACCTCATCTGAGCCATAATCCTCATCTTCTTCAGATTCCTCGGGCTTCTTTTCAATTTCTTTATCATCTGAAGCACTTTTCTCTTCAATTACCTTCCTTTTAAGCTTTCCAGGCACCATTTTTCAAGAAAATTATTAAATGCAAATGTAATTTTCTTGATAGTTTCACTGTTTTTGATGAATATGACGCACAGCCTGTTTATAACAATTAGAACAACAAAACTGTTATAAAGAAGAATATCATTGTGGATGGAAGACATAAAGACGCATTCAGGGTGGTTAAAAATAGAATCTGGCCTTTTTTAAAAATATGTTCACGTGTACAATGTGTGGCAGAATTCATATGTTGGCAGATAATATATGTCATACATTGCATATGTGCACATATTTGATGTGTGACACAATATTTTGTGTCACATATGAAAATGTGTGATGTGTGACACATATTTATGTGTGTAGATATCATGTGTAAACATGCAAAATCTGCACATATTTATTAATTTGCGGGACTAAAGTAATATTTTTTTGTAGAATTTATTCGAAAAATTATTGATATATAACCAAAACAGTCAAATCCTGCATAAAAGAGTTAATTTTGTTAAAAAAATGTTCATCAAACTGTAATTTTGAACTAAACTTTAAACTACCCCCCCCCCCCCCCCCCCCTTGTTACAATATGTTACAACTCACAACCCCCCCCCCCCCCCCCCTGAACGTTCACCGTTTTCACGTGTGAATCTATTGGTATTGAATTTTGTGAGGATATGGAGCAAGATAGCTTAAAATGTTCAGAGATGAAAAGTTTGTGCCAGGAATTTCACATCTTTTGCAAAAAAACAGATTTCAAATTGGTTGAGGCATTGCTGAGAAAATCGCAAAATACGCTTTCTGTAAACAAGCAAACAACCAAGCAAGTTAATCAGCAAGAAATCTCAATAACGAGACATCGTAAAGACTTCTAGTTTTTTACATTTGATCCGTGCTGCTCTATAGAAGAGCTGTATTGTTTTTGGGCAAGGTAGGAACAGCCGTTGCTTCAGAAAAAGCAAAAAACTTTCCTTTCTTACGAATTTTTTAAAACAAAAGTTGACTGTGATTTTTATAAAATTCAACTTTGGATGAAAAAATTTTTTTAAAAAACTTTGAAAGAAAGTTTTGGATATTCGTCAAGCTTCTTACCTTCAAACTTATGCTGAGCGATGCTCAGCTGAAGCGATAGTTTTATACCTTCAAACTTATGCTGAGCGAAGCTAGCTTATGCTGACTCGCTAGTTCATCCCTTCAAACTTATGCTAAGCAAATCTTGGCCTATCCATAAGATTTTTGATGGTAAGGTGTGAATATATCCGCATTGGGTTTCTACACGATACACTAGTTGAATATCAAAATTCTACTGTAATTAAGCTGGCAAAGCCAAGTGTAATATAAACAAAGAGATTTGCAGAAAGCGTGACAGAATGAGCGCATTGACAGCAGTTTGGAGAAAATGAGTGGAAAATTGATATAAAGGGAAAATTTTAAAAAATTAGGATAATCAAAAGAAATTATTAAGAAATGAAATATTTAATTAGTTTAAATAGTGCCGAATTAAGAATAGAAACACAATATTTTCTAATAGGAAGTTAAAGTCACATTAATTAGTCAAAGTAAATAGTTTTATATCGTGAATGAAGATTTTTCATTGAAGTGCATACTTAAAGACTTTTTTTTACTAATTATAATTATATATTTCTTATCTCCACTCAACGTGCCTGTGCTTTAATTAATTAAGACGAAAAGTTTACACTCGTAAAAATGGATCATCAAAATGTTGGTTGTTGGGACTCGGTGTTATTAGAGAATGAGTCGGAAAATTGCTTCATCTCAAACTTACAGCAGAGATTTAAACGGGATTTTATATATGTAAGGAAAATGTGAAAATGATTTTTTTTTTCATTTTGTGATTTTTCCTTTATCGATATTAAGAAAATTGGAAAAGTGGACAGAGAAAAAATTACAACAAAAGCAATAATATGCAGCAGTGAAATATATACATATATTTTGTGTGCCAATTTTTAATTAATATTCAATTATTTCTTTTCCATTATTTCTCTCTGTGTTCTGTGTGCTGTGTCTATATGCTCAGACTTATGTTGGATCACATCTAATATCCCTAAATCCGTTTTGTAAGCCATCGACAATATTTTCTCCAGATTTAATTAATTCATATGCGGAAAAAAGTTTATTTCAATTGCCTCCTCACATGTGAGTATAGTTTGCGTTTGACTGCTGCTGTAGATTTCGTGTGTACAGAAGCAAAAAATAATTGATAGTCATTAATCGTTTCAAGTGGACCACGCAAACCTCCTTAATCATTTTTTTTGTCTTCCTTTATGTCTCTTCCTCGTCTGTTTTTCTATTATTCTGTCAGATATTCGTTGACAAATAATGTTTATAAATCGTTACAAGATAATAATGAGGATCAATGCATTGTCATGTTAGGTGAATCGTCAAGTGGAAAGACAGAAAATTGTCGTATGATTATAAGATTTCTATCGAAAATATCGGGTAGATTTATGCCACTTCAACGTCAACGAAGCTCAAATTCTATTGGAAGTTACAAGAGCTGCTCTTCTCCAAAGTCTTCAAGTTCAACACCTAAACATAAATCATCAACATCAACACTTCAGCATTCACACGAAAAATCAACGAGTAGTTGTTTTAAAACAATAGACGGAAGTGGAAGAAATAAGAAAATATCTCGAGTAGAGTTCGATTTTTCCAAGTGTAGTAGCGATACGAACGATATAATAGACGATAGGCACGACCTGATAAAATATTGTCCAAAACATAATTGCTGTAATGTATCGTCATCATCGTCGACCACATCGAATCCAATTGATATACCGTCGTTGCCAAGACACAGAAATAATAAAACGACTTCTAATTATCACCCGCATTATCATCATTCGCATCACCATACAAATGAACTTCCAGCTATTTCGAAAAGTTTTACAATATATGAGACTATGAATCGTGTTCATAATAGTAAAAAGGTGCCAAATTGTCTTGATCATTATCAGAGTAATCCAACGGTAAAGGAATCTGCCAGATGTGAGAGTTTGGATAGAATTAAAATTAACAATCATTCGGATAAGATTAAATTGACAGATTTAAGTAGTTCGTTTGACGAGACGATTCAGCAGTTATCAAAATTACGTTCGTCTAATGAAAGGAACTCCTCACCGTCGTCAACACATGTTAGAGATTCATCCTATAATCGCAGTAAAATTAATTTGGATAACTTTAAAAGTGCCAAACGAAAAGTGCCAATCAAAAATCTCAGAAATTTCCATTTAACAAGTCTAGAAATCCAAACCATGAAAGAACGAATCGCACAAGCAGAAATTTTCCTTGAAGCCATGGGCAATGCTTTAACATTCAAAAATCGTGACTCTAGTCGATACGTAAGTCATTCATTCACAATCATTTATTAGCCGTTAATCATTGTGATTCTTTTTTTTTGCGTAAAATTGAAATTGGGTCTCGATGCAAGGCTTACATGCTGTGATCATCTTTGAAGCTTAAAATCAGTTTAAAATACTAACAGTTTTTAAAATTTTGAATTTATCTGTGAGAAATTCAGCATAAAATTCAAATTATAAAAAACCGTTGACTGAAAAACTTCCGTCGATTCCCAATTTATATCGAGTGTCGCTCCTTTTTGGGGCAAAAAGCATGTTGTCAAATTAATTTTAAATTTGTGAAGTGTGTTGCTAGATAATATCGATTTAATTCCTCATCATTTGTTCTTATTTCTTCTTTTTGCCTGCTATCAAAAAAAAAAAAAACTAGGGAAAATATTTTGATTTAGAAATCGATTATCGTGGTGATTTAATAGGAGGACACATAATGCATTGTGAGTATGAGATATCAAAAAACTAATAGCAGACTAGTATGAAGCATACAAAGACATCATATGATATTCATATCCTTTTCAATATTTCATTTTATTTTATTATGTTCATGCAATCGTAGTTTTATTGGAGAAGGTAATACTTTCTTCCTAATGTGTAACACAGGAAATGAGAAAAAAAAAGAAAATAAAGTTCTATAGCTGTACAATATAAAATTCAATTTAAAGGAAGAAAAACTTTCTTTTCTCATCACATTTTATGTGAATATGTCTCTCATGTATGCTTTCTGTCTCTCTTCTCATTTACATATAATAGAGTCGTGTGACTAAGCAGCAATTGGAGCGGGAAAGAAATTTTCATATATTCTACCAACTCTTGGCTGGAGCTGATATACATTTTCTGAGTAAGAGACATAAACATTATTTTTATTCGATTGAAAGAATTTCGGGATTGTGACTATCGTTCAGGGTTGCATCTAGGATATCGATCTTTTACAAGGTCGGTTTATGAATGGAATCTATTTTTGAGTCCCCTTAAAAAATCAGTTCTGGGTGCATCCCTGCTCATTGTTCACATTTCTGGCATTCCTTACTGTTTTGTGAACAATGTCATGGGAATATGCAGCGATAGATTCAAAAAGCGTCATGTTTGATGTATGAATGGGATTAACAACTTACTCTTCCCTACATACACACTCATCCAAGACGTAAGGGTGCATTGAGATGTATACTAAGCATAAACTATCTTGTTCATTTAAATGAAACATATATTATCATCATTTCCTTTTCATTCTCGTCTATTGCTGCTTGCTGCTGATGCCACCACCCCCTTCATTTTGTTTAGAATCCTTGAAACTACAAAGGAATATCAACAAGTATGATATACTCAAGGATACAAACTCTGATGATGACGATAAATTTCAATTTGCATTTACGAAAAAATCCTTAGAGATTCTTGGATTCACGGGCGAGGAGATACTTTCAATTTTCAAAATCATCGCTGTTATTTTAAAATTAGGCAATTTAAATTTTATACCAATTACGAATATTGATGGCAGTGAGGGTTGTGAAATTTCCAATGATTATGGTAATTCCTGTTTTGCATAATTTTCAATTCTAAAGCATGTATATATCGTGTTTGATTCTATCCACAGAAATTAGAGATATATCACAATTATTAGATATAGATGAACAAATTTTGCTCAATTGTCTCACAAAGTCAGGATCATCGTGGATGCAATTAGAAAATGGATCGGAACTGGATGCAATAAATGCGGCACTTATAAATAAAGCTTTATGTCGAACACTTTACGGACGTTTATTTACCTACGTTGTTAGTCGAATTAATGAGTCATTAAAGGTAAATGAAATGTAAATTGAGATTTAAGATCTAAAATAATCAATGAATTAATTCCAGATAAAGAATCTTACAAATCGAGGACGTAATTTAGGCGTTTTAGATTTTTTTGGATTCGAGTCGCTTGAGAAGAATGGCTTCGAGCAATTTAACATCAATTATTGTAATGAGCGTATTCATCAGTCCTACATTAAAATCGTACTTAAATCGCAACAAGATTTATACTTGAGGGAAGGATTAGATTGGACCAAAATCGATTTTTATGATAATCAGCCAGTTTGTGATCTCATTGATAAGGTATATCTGTAGATTATTTATAGAAATGTAATTTGAATTTTTAATGAATTAATTAGTATTCTTCGTCATCGCAGCCTCCACATGGCATCTACTATCTGATGGAGGAACCAAAGGTTGTTAGCGATGAGATTTTATTGCAACGACTTGGTCAATGTTGGTCGGGTCACGTGAGTTTTTCGACTCAAGATCATGTGCCACCTCGATGTTTTCAGTGAGTATTAAAAATGCTTAGTAACGAAGTCTACAGTATCAATAGCCCCCCCCTCTTCTTTTTTAACGAAATTCCAATTTCACCCCTACTTGAAACATTCCAAAGATCTCGCATAAAGCCCACTCAATTTCATTCGCATTATTGTCGAGAGGAAATTGCTTAGATATTCTAAAAATCCCATAAAACGTCGAGGAAATCCCATAAAGATTTTGGAAAGTTTAACAGTTTTGTTTATCCTTCTCTTTTCAGAATTCGTCACTTTGCCGGAGCCTTAGATTACAATATAGACGGTTTTATAGAGAAAAATACTGATAGAATACCAAAACACTTAAGCTCTAGTCTTTTCCAAAGCAAATTGTCAATAGTACAAAATTTATTTCCGGAAGGTAATTGTATCAATCAATTTATGGCACTTAATTTAAAATGATATGATTGTTGATGTCTTAAACAGGAAATCCGAAACGAGCTTCTAAAAAACCAACAAACTCTAGTTCAATTCTTCGTTCGTCACTTCAGAATCTCTTGTCGAAAATAGAACAACGTAAATGTCATTATGTATTCTGTATAAAGTCAAACGATAAACGATTGCCGAAAATGTTTGAGGTACCAATTATACAACATCAAGTGCGATTTATGAGGTGAGTTTTTGGGAATGGGGTTAGATAAATACAGACTGTTAAGGGTGGTTTACGACTACGAGTGAGAAAAAAAAAACAGCAGCGACATCAAAATTACCAATTTATATCAATAATATCAACAGGTTTCTCATTTTCATTTCCGTTTATTTTATTATTCTATTTTTTTCCCGTTCATTTATTTAGCTTGATGCCAGTTGTTGCTCTTTGGAGGAATGGATTTTATTTTAATTTCAATCATATGAAGTTCTTGAATCGCTATAAAATTCTGAGTCCATTCACATGGCCTCATTTTCATTCGAACTCAGTCGTAGAATCAATTGCTCAAATTATACGAAGTGTCCCTTTGCCAGCTGCTGAATTTGCCATAGGATTAACCAAAGTCTTTATCCGTAGCCCAAGAACTTTGTACGAATTGAATGAATTTCGTAATCATCGACTTAATTCTTTAGCAACAATAATCCAAAAAGCTTTTAGACGCTATTCACAGCGCAATCATTTCCTTAAAATGAGACGAAGTCAAATTATTATATCAAGTGCATGGAGAACATGGAGAGTGAGTAAAGTACACTTTTTATTTATTTTATGTTTCCTACATTTTTCACAATTGCTTCTTCTGCATGAGATTTGCATGATTTTTTTTTTTCTCTTTTTTTGCCTTATTTATCATTTCATTTCATTTACTTTATGTTTAAAGGAGTGTTGGGCTATTCCTGTTTCAGAAAGGAGGCATTTATGGGGTTTATATAGAGTGGTAATTATGCTTATTTTATTTCTATTGCATTCATAAAACGCAAGCTCTTATTTCTCGACCATTTCTCACCAAACAAACACGTGACCCCCTTTTTAACGGCTTTTTTGAGAATTTATCGGACAAAATTTAAAATATTTCTTCGTTAAATAATATTTAACGAAAGATTTTACTAATTCAAAATTTTAAAAGTCGTAAAAGTTCACAAATTTTTAATTAAATTCCATCAATATTAATTTTCACTTAAAATGGTCTGATCACCTCAACATATACAATCACTTAAAGATACCTTAATCCCAGAGATCGAAGCCGATTTTTTCGGCTTAACTCAACTTTTGATTTTTTTGATAGAGAAAAGCTATTTAACACACATTTCAAGTATTTATATTGGACTTTACATGCTTTACTATGATTTTGTGTAATATTTTGTCAGCATGTAGCTATAGGAAGCTCAGAATTTCAAGTTAAAGAATGTTAAGCCGAAATTTAAGCCGATCGGCTTATCATCGACTAAATTGAAATTCTGAGCTTACTATAGCTACATGCTGACAAAATATTACACAGAATCATAGTAAAGCATGTAAAGTTCAATTTAAATACTTAAAATGGTAGTTAAATGGCTTTTTTCTATCAAAAAAATCAAAAATTGAGTTAAGCCGAAAAAATCGGCTTCGATCTCTGCTTAATCCTTTAATACAATTTATTATGCAATGATAAACAAGACCTTAAATCATTTTCTATCCATAACTTCCAACAGGCTAGAGAAGAATATCGCTTTATAAAGTATCGAAAGCAAATAGAGTGGGCTGTCAGCGTGATACAGAAAAACTACATTTTATGGAAGAAACGACATTTTCTAATCACCCTTCCAATGAGATTACAGGCAAATAGCCTCAGTCCAATGTCACCAGAATGGCCATCGTCGCCTAAATTTCTAGTGGAAGCATCACAGTTGCTGAAGACAATATTTCATAGATGGAGGGTAAAATTGCAAAAACTTTGATTTTATATGCCAAATATTAAAAAGTTTGACATCTCTGCAGTGCAACAGATATCGAAAGATGTTTGATCAAACGGCTCGGAATCGGATGCGAGAGAAAGTAACGGCAAGCATATTATTTAAGGAACGAAAAGCTTCTTATGTGAAGAGGTAATAATTTGTACGATAATATGTATTAATGTTCTCACTCGTCCTAATCACATATTCTCTTAGTGTTTCACATCCATTTCTTGGTGATTATGTTCGACTTAGACAAAACGTGCAGTGGAAGAAGATTTGTATTGAAAATAATGATCAATATGTAGTATTTGCTGATATAATCAACAAAATAGCTCGTTCTAGTGGAAAAGTAATATCAACAGATTTCAATTCCATTATACTTTATTGTGCGAAGCTAATTGATTTTCATTCTTTATTCTTTCACAGTTCGTTCCAATCTTGTTGGTATTGTCGACTTCTTCAATGTTATTATTGGATCAACGAACTCTCCAAATAAAATATCGAGTTCCGGCCTCAGAAATTTACAGGATGTCGCTCAGTCCTTATTTGGACGATATTGCTGTCTTTCACGTCAAAGCTGTAAGTTTTCGTTAATCTTTGGGGATCGTTAATGATTCCTAATAAGTCATATATCTAGGTATCATGTACACAGCTGCTAGTTCTAGACCGCTAAATGTATTTAAACTTTTCAGGAGGAATTTTCGTCAAATATCTCAACAACTTCAGACACCAATGGTGGTTGTCTGTTTCAGGTAACGGAACTGCTTCTTTGCCATAGAATTTAGACAAGACTTCACTTAGAACTAGTTCGAGTTGCCTAGTCGTGCATGAAAATTATCAAAATTATTTTTAATTAATTATCAATTTATTTTTTGATTTTCGTTTGCAGTCAGAACTAGGCAGGAAGAAGGGGGACTTTATTTTTCAAACAGGTCACGTCATTGAAATTGTGACAAAAATGTTTCTCGTAATTCAAAATGCAACAAATAAACCTCCAGAAATCCAAATTAATCCCGAGTAAGTTTATCCATTAAATTAATTGGTTGTCATTGACATCGTGGCAATAATCTCTAAATTCACAGATTTGAAGCAAATTTCGGACAACAAACGGTAATAATGAGCTTTAAGCAACAATTGATGACAGATTTAAATAATCAACAGCTAACGAGAGTATCGAGAAAAGGGAATCGGATGGAAATAACTGTTTAACGTTAACAGTTAATGTTTAAGCAGATGCTGAACATTAAGAAATATTAAATTTCACGAAACATAGCAAAACAAAATATAGCAATAATGAGAAAAATTCAAAATTAGAGGGAAATTAATTAAATAATTTTTAATGAAAAAACAAGTGTCGTTTAGATGGAAACAAAAATTTCCTGTAGCTATTGTTGTTACTTTATAATACTAAAGTGCTCTTTTGAGAAAAAAAAAATGATAAAATGAATCAAATTATATGAAAAAAGGATATTTACAAGCAACAATGAAGTAATTAATACGAAAGATGAATAATATTTCTATAAGATGAACGATTAATACTGTTTAAGTTTCAATTTTAAACTTGAATCAATTTTCAATAATGCTATAGTTAAACATATTTTGAGGACATTGAATTTTAACAAATAAAGACTTTTTAAAATTAGAAATTATAACGGTTGCGAAGAATTCAAATTTTATGCAAAAATTCAAATTTCAAAAAGCCGTTATTTGTGAAAATCCAAAGGAAGTGTCCCTCAAATCACTCATTTAAGTTACACACACCCAACATATCATCAAACAAAGCACTCACTACTCATCAACGGATCATTTCAGTAGCGTTTTAAGATGAAACTACCTATAACGTTTTAAAAGTAAATACTACGTTTAATTGAGATAGTTTATATGAGATAATTTATTTCTAATGTTTAACTTAAAGTAATTTTAATGAACTTCTATAATCAGATGAAAAAATTGGACCTTAGAAAAATAAATAAATCAATAGATATGAAACATATCTTTAATAGAAAGTGATTCAAACAGAAATTCATGTAATTTTAAATTTAAAAAATATGTTTAAGTCCAAATAAGTTTTATGACTTGTTAGTTTCTGTCGCTATAGATTTTAGACTTATTTTAATAATCATTCTATTTATGACGTAAAAACTTATGTATTATTAAAGACTTTAATTTAACTAATTTTTAGATACAACATGACATAGTTACATTAACTCACTGCCGATTGAAACGTTTTAAGGATGAATAAAAATAGTAATAATTTTAGAAAATTACCGAATAAAGAAATCTCTAGACTATAATTGACTGAGACGTTTCCAAAACCGCTTCACTATGGGCCAGAAATCGAAAACTTTTCCGAAAATTATTTTTTTGGTTTAAATGATAGTTCTTTCATTCCCATTTAAGAAAATACTTACAAAAGTGGCCAATTCAGCCTAAGTTCCGAGTTATGGCTTTTCAAATTTTTGATTAAGAGCATTTTCTCGCCCCACAAAAATTGTCACTCCTTTTCATTAGATTGATGAAACTCTTTCAATTTTTTTTTAATTGGTAGCTTAAAACAAGAGCTTTATTTTAACATAGTAAACATTTAAGTATGCATCTTTTAACTTTATGAATTTTAAGGTTTTTTCAAAAAATCACGTGTTCAGTATGATTACGTTCGTCTAGGACTTCACTCTTAAAATAAATGATGCTGAATCTTTTTTTATATTGTAGATATAAACAAGATCTATAACTTTTATTAAGATACTATAAAGTTTTAGTAGAGTTTTGCTGATGAAATTAAGTCTTTTCTTCAAAAAAACTGCAATTTTTTGACATAAATTCCCATAACTTTTCAGGATAGCCCAAAGGAGTGGAATTTTTTTACATGCTTTGAAAGCTTTTTGGATATACTATCAGAATATACAATCAGCTTGAGTTCGGTTACTGAGACAATCTCGAGCAATTTGACTTTGAAGTGTGACCAAAAATACATTTCAAAACATAAAAATTGAAAATAAATTTTGTACGTTTTTCAAAATTTTAGTTTTTTGCTTTAGATCAATAGATCTTATCAAGGCGCATATTTTGAGTATAAATATGTCATAGTTTGAACAATTTTTATACTCAAATTTCAACAAAATCATTTTTACATATTTTTTCAACAAATTTTACTTATTTTTCAATTATTTTAAATCAAAACTTATTTTAACTCTTCTGATTTTGATATTTTTTGAAATTTCTATGTTTTTATGTTAAAATGTCACTCCTAGAGCAACAATTCATAAAAATTTTTTACATTAAGGTAATTTTTTTATAATTTTTTGCAAATTACACTCATTTTTCTTATCTTTTTTTATCAAATTTTATTTTATAATAATTCTAAATATTGAAATTTAATGTAATATGCATAAAAATACTCTTAAATATTTAAAGATCATATTTTATCCAATTAACGTAGGAATAAAGCTGGAATGAGCAAAGCTTTGATATGTTCCTTTAATCTGAAGGTAATTCTCCTTTCGATTCAGAACATATAAGCATCCAATCAACTATTTTTAATAAATTTCGGTATACATACTTATTTCCATGCAATTGTAAAGCATAAACTATCACCTGAAACTTGTTTTTGCTGACCCATGTCACTATTTCAAAGATGTCTTATTTTATTGCCTTCCAGGTCCGGAAGTTGAAAGCTCAATATTTATAATCTGACTGGACTCACTAATGGTGACTGGAATTTACCAGTATGAAATATATAAAGTATATATACAAAAGTTTGAAACTTGTTTTTGCTGACCCATGTCACTATTTCAAAGATGTCTTATTTTATTGCCTTCCAGGTCCGGAAGTTGAAAGCTCAATATTTATAATCTGACTGGACTCACTAATGGTGACTGGAATTTACCAGTATGAAATATATAAAGCATATATACAAAAGTTAAAAAAGTTTGCATCATTTCGAAATTTATCAAAACTAAATGATGGTTCTTGAATCTATTTTTGTCTTTGTATAAGGATTTAAGTGCCTCGCTGGTCAAATAAGAAAGTCATTTCCAAATTCGTTCTTTTTCAGTAGTTTAGATACTTCGACTGCTTAATGTACGAGATCAAGCCATGAGATATTTGGCAACGTTGGATTAAGGAACGCATGAGGAACTTGAAGTGTAGCGGGAGAAATAAGAACGAGAGCTACAAGATTACCTTATAATGATAAATTGTCAGAACGGATCTGAAATGTATCACGTTGCGCCCACAGATCAGTAAAAAAAGTATATGCAAAGACAAAAATTCGAAAAAACCATTCAACATTGGATAAAAATTGTCACAATACATTTGATAGATTGGAAAATGGTTGATAGCGTTTTCCTTTTTAAAAACTATTTTCACTATAGGTCCTTAATTTTAATAATTCGTGGTGATAGTTTACGCTTTACAATTGCATGGAAATAAGTATATATACCGAAATTTATTAAAAATAGTTGATTGAATGCTTATATGTTCTGAATCGAAAGGAGAATTACCTTCAGATTAAAGGAACATATCATAGCTTTGCTCATTCCAGCTTTATTCATACGTTAATTGGATAAAATATGATTTTTAAATATTTAAGAATATTTTTATGCATATTACATTAAATTTCAATATTTAGAATTATTATAAAATAAAATTTGGTAAAAAAAGATAAGAAAAATGAGTGTAATTTGCAAAAAATTATAAAAAAATTACCTTAATGTAAAAATTTTTTATGAATTGTTGCTCTAAGAGTGACATTTTAACATAAAAACATAGAAATTTCAAAAAATATCAAAATCAGAAGAGTTAAAATAAGTTTTGATTTAAAATAATTGAAAAATAAGTAAAATTTGTTGAAAAAATATGTAAAAATGATTTTGTTGAAATTTGAGTATAAAAATTGTTCAAACTATGACATATTTATACTCAAAATATGCGCCTTGATAAGATCTATTGATCTAAAGCAAAAAACTAAAATTTTGAAAAACGTACAAAATTTATTTTCAATTTTTATGTTTTGAAATGTATTTTTGGTCACACTTCAAAGTCAAATTGCTCGAGATTGTCTCAGTAACCGAACTCAAGCTGATTGTATATTCTGATAGTATATCCAAAAAGCTTTCAAAGCATGTAAAAAAATTCCACTCCTTTGGGCTATCCTGAAAAGTTATGGGAATTTATGTCAAAAAATTGCAGTTTTTTTGAAGAAAAGACTTAATTTCATCAGCAAAACTCTACTAAAACTTTATAGTATCTTAATAAAAGTTATAGATCTTGTTTATATCTACAATATAAAAAAAGATTCAGCATCATTTATTTTAAGAGTGAAGTCCTAGACGAACGTAATCATACTGAACACGTGATTTTTTGAAAAAACCTTAAAATTCATAAAGTTAAAAGATGCATACTTAAATGTTTACTATGTTAAAATAAAGCTCTTGTTTTAAGCTACCAATTAAAAAAAAATTGAAAGAGTTTCATCAATCTAATGAAAAGGAGTGACAATTTTTGTGGGGCGAGAAAATGCTCTTAATCAAAAATTTGAAAAGCCATAACTCGGAACTTAGGCTGAATTGGCCACTTTTGTAAGTATTTTCTTAAATGGGAATGAAAGAACTATCATTTAAACCAAAAAAATAATTTTCGGAAAAGTTTTCGATTTCTGGCCCATAGTGCGCTTCTTTTATTTAATTCTTTTATTTTGTGTACACTGGCGGAAAAAATAATTTCATATAACACTATTGCAAATATATAGCAATTCTACGATGCAACCTAGTCACTACGGGATAACATCGAAATTTTTTTTTCAAAAATTATTTTATTGGCTTATTTGAAAGGTGTTTATTCAAGGAATCAGAATCTATTTTAAGTTACATAAGTTTCCTTCATGGAAAGTGCTTAAAAATTGACGAAACTTCAAATGTTAGTAGTACGGCACACTTTTTTTGAGTATGTGGATTTCTGATGCATTTAAATGTTTTTATTTTTTCATTAAAACATAGTCCTTTACCAGATTTACAAGAAAAATATCATTTTCAAGGTTTAAACTTATATTTAAGCATCAAAAATTGAGATTTTTTCAAAAAAATTACGGTTTTTTACTATGTTTTGACTTCAATTGACTATAACTGCATATTCCAAGTGAGTGGAGGGACAAGTTTTAACTGTTTTACATAGCTCTCACTTGTATTTTTCTGAAACTGTGAAAACCTGGAAAAAAGGTTTGCCAAATTTTCAACCTTGAACCATTTGAAACATGTCATCTGCATGCACCTCAAAAATCTTTTTCAACTTTTTTCGACTGACTTTAAATACACTATGTGCTTAACAAAAGGGTATTTGGTATTTTTCAGATAGTTTAAGTATGTTTCTGTAGAAAACACGAGAAAAAATAAATTTTTATCTTTACTGTATCTGATAGGGCTGGTCAAACTATGACAAGTTTCCCATTCTCTTGCAGTGTCCTGGGTAAATTCTCAACTCAAAATTAAATTTTATCTTATAGCCAGTACTTTTATCTTTCCAACAGTACCAAATTTATAATATATACTTGAGATTTTATACACTTTTGAGCAAAAATGCCAAGTATAGTTCTTCACACACCTCGAATTTTGAGTAATTTTTCAGTTTTTTCAAAATTATTCAGGGATATTGTACTCATATATGACATATTATATATCGTTGGAAAGGTAATTAAAGCAGCTTAACATAAAAGGTAATACAAATACTTTTTGGTAAGCATATAGTGCACTATGGGCAAGAAATGGAAAAATTTTCCAAAAATTATTTCTACAGCTTATATGATAGTCCTTATTCTGCCCTACATTTAAGTCCTTAAAACCTTGCCCAAGTCGACAGCATGTCCGAGATATGGCACTTCAAAGTTGGTCAGACGACCATTTTCACGTTACATTGAAAATGCTCTCACCAGATACTGGATGGATGAATCTCCTTCAAACTTTTTTTGTTGATAGCTTTAAATAGTTTCTTTATTTTAAGATATAAACAATTGCAAATAACTTTGGAAAATTTGGTGAAAAACTTGATTTTTCTCAAAAACCACGTGTTCGTCATACTTTCGTTTGTCTAGGTCTTCACAAGCACAACTAAAGTTACCGATTTCTCAATTTTCAATTTTGGACTAGGGGTGACCCTAGTCAAAATCAATTTTGTCACTTTTTTCTTCGAGGGTTTATCCAAATGGATTGAATCTTTGCATAAATATTCTAGTGCTGAAAACAAATACAAATAAAACATCCTAAAATTTTTTGAGCAAAGAACCAAGAAGGAAATACATTTTCAATTTTGGACTAGGGGTGACCCTAGTCAAAATCAATTTTGTCACTTTTTTCTTCGAGAGTTTATCCAAATGGATTGAATCTTTGCATAAATATTCTAGTGCTAAAAACAAATACAAATAAAACATCCTAAAATTTTTTTGAGCAAAGAACCAAGAAGGAAATACATTTTCAATTTTGGACTAGGGGCGACCCTAGTCAAAATCAATTTGGTCACTTTTTTCTTCGAGGGTTTATCCAAACGGATTGAAACTTTGCAAAAATATTCAAATGCTTAAAACAAATACAAATAAAACATCCTAAAATTTTTTGAGCAAAGAACCAAGAAGGAAATACATTTTCAATTTTGGACTAGGGGCGACCCTAGTCAAAATCAATTTTGTCACTTTTTTCTTCGAGAGTTTATCCAAATGGATTGAATCTTTGCATAAATATTCTAGTGCTGAAAACAAATACAAATAAAACATCCTAAAATTTTTTTGAGCAAAGAACCAAGAAGAAAATACATTTTCAATTTTGGACTAGAGGCGACCCTAGTCAAAATCAATTTTGTCACTTTTTTCTTCGAGAGTTTATCCAAACGGATTGAAACTTTGCAAAAATATTCAAATGCTTAAAACAAATACAAATAAAACATCCTAAAATTTTTTTGAGCAAAGAACCAAGAAGGAAATACATTTTCAATTTTGGACTAGGGGCGACCCTAGTCAAAATCAATTTTGTCACTTTTTTCTTCGAGGGTTTATACAAA